AGGCTGGGCAAGCAGCCCGTTCTCAACACGTTATCCTTCGCCCTGTACAAGCCCCCAGTCCCACCAGTAACCCCTCATCATCAATACCAAGCACAGGCAAACCATTTCTAGATAAACTTTTCTCCAACTTGATGACCCTGCCACCTGAACCTTAACAAAAACCCAGCTCTAATCACTTATCTGTAGTTCAGTGATATTTTTTCACCGCAGCCTAAAATGTTGTTTTCAAGCAGCACATGCCACCTTCAGGTCTTAGATTAGTGTAATAGCCCCTTTCTGAATTCTCACCTTATTCTAGCTCATTTTTATCTGCAGTTCAACATTCATATATTAAATCTACTCCAGACACTCTTTCTTAGCCTGGCAGCACCTTTTGAATCTATGGCTTACCCTGAATTATATCCATATCCCATGTACTACCTTGCACTGCTTTACACCAGCACTTACTTACCTCACTTCATCTGTCAGCACCTTGCATGAATTAAAAGATGCATCTGAGCATTTTAAGATCTGCTGATGCAGCCTCAACCTTTCCACTAAAATTAGCACTTTTTGACCCACCACCTAAAAGTTGTATAGAAAATTAATAAACTTATCTAAATTATTTTCTAACTTAAAAGAACTGTGTTTTATTATGGGGGGATAGGGGAAATTAAACTCTCTTTTATTTGAGAGACAGCATCCTACAGAACACTGACATATTGCTCTGCCACTTTCAAACAGGAACATCATTTCAACCTGCTCCATTCTGCTGCTTTTCTTGAAATCAAATAAAATTATTCCAGTAAGAGAGGGAGCATATGCTGTCACAGTGCATCTGAAAATAGTGTGTGCATTGGCCAGCACTGTGACAGCTGAAATGCAGTAGAGGTGTTTCTTTTGAAGACATTTGCCAAGGAACAAGTCTTAAAGCCTTTCCTTGATTTCCTGAAAGATACTTCTAATTGCATCAGCAGGCATACTGCTCCTAAAGTTTGCAGTCACAGGCTGGCCTGACTTTTGGAACTATCCAATACCTTACATAGTTCTGAATGCAAGTGCCTATGCTTATTAATTGTAGTCAGTCCTGGAAATGCACAGGATGAATTTTCTTCCCAGTAATTCCCCTTCCTCTCCTCCCGTATCCTTGGGGTATAGATGTGCACATTGATATGTATTGTCACTACTTGCTCAGTTTGAGGGTGGCCCCTCTGGTTCCCACACCAAACTCTAATTCACTATATATTTGAAGAAGAGGGACAGGTTGACCCTCTAGTAACCAAAACATGATTAATAATGATGTGGTTTCATCATGGTTCAATTCTAATATAAAAAATATCCTACATTTGGACTTACTTTATAGATTAGGCAAGAATCTTACAGATTTACATGACTCCATGGCTATTAGTGAAGTTTTGTACTACACTATCTTAGAATCTGCCAATTAGGATGGTTATAAAATGCATATATTATAATTTTTTTAAATGCTGACTATACATTTCACCCAAAATATAAATTCATTATCATATCTGGTATGAAAATAGATAGCTGCAGAATAAACAAAACATAAAATGAAACCTGAATTAAAGTAAAACTCTTATGTGGACTAATACATATCTTTTTATTATGACAGGGGAAAAAAAGGTTAACATGATAGTGTTTTAAAATCAGAAACACTGACACTGCATTATAAATTATTCTCTCTCTCTTTGTACTTTATATTCATATAGTCTTAAGCGTTTGTGATTTCTCACCTCCAGGCATCCTTAAGTATGCTTGAGAACCAGAATAAATGCAAACTCAGAAGCCTTCTTGAACTTTAAGATGAAGGCCACTATGAATTTACTAGAAAATTCCATTAAATTCCTCATGCACATTCTCTACTGTCATTTCAGCACATTTATGATAAGAATGTGGAACTGCCTGCTTTGAGTAACTCTTCTACCTGCTATCTACTGGCTTGCCTGTCTCTGTTAATAGTGCTTTGGATTTCAGAGGATAATACAGTCTGGAATGAAACTATCTCAGGTTTAAAAAAATTATTCTCAGACATTAATTTTAAATATGAAGTAGAAATATCTGTGTTTAGCTAAGAACTGATTAATGGGATTGGATTTAATGTGCCAATTTAACATATTACAGTGATTTTATAAGCTGTGAATCTTCTTTCCAGAACACCTTGTTTCTATTTCATCATAAAAACATTCCCTCTTTCATTTATCTGGATGTGAACACTATGTGAAGATAAATTACATGCCACAGGTTTCCACATACCATCACACCCCTCATCTTCTGATACAGAAAGCTCTCTTAGAACTAAATTAACAGAAAGAGCTTAACATGTTAATAAAATAAGGCAGGAACTTGGTTTTATGGGATTATGCTGAGCAGTATAATGAACCGGAGGATCCCAAGTATTTTGTCATGCATTTCATACTCAACAAGATAACCAAACAATCATTTTTAAAAAAGGAAATCTACTGTTTGTTATTTAGAGTAACCATTTTAAAGAACTTACTTGATTTAGGGTCACAAAACCCTAATAAAATCAGTATGGTTTAACATGAGTTAAACATAATAACCTCTGATTTCAGAGGTTATTATGAACTAAGGGATATAGATAAGCATCCAGTGGGATCTTCAAAATATCTAACCATCTGTGTTTTACACCTGTTAATATTTTGTGTCCATGTAGGGCAGGAAAGGAGGGAAAAAGATTAGTAGGTCAGTTATATCTCAAAAATGTCACCCTATCTCAGTATAATTATATTAGCTAAAATAAAAGAATACAACTTGAAATGCAGAAATATATGTGACACTAAAATAGAAAAGTAAATTAATCCCTGCAATTAATTACACACAATCTAGATGTGTGCAAAGAATCAGGATATATGACATGATACATCACACACTATGTGGTCTAAGAAGCCAGCATAGGTATTAGTCCTTTGACTTTATTCCGTAACATGAATTTTTTTCAGGGCAAAGTAAATATAAATCCTGAAGACACTGAAATATAACAGCTGAAGGTTACACAGGTAACATTCAAACTATACACTCAAGCATTATATTTTAAAATTTAAAATAACTCAGTCAACCTGAATTAGACTATGCTCCATCATGTGCATAAATCCAGAACATCTAACAGATATTTTCGAGTTAAAAATGCTGTCTCTAATGATTTGACACCGATGTTTCATAAGGCTTCTTGGCTGCCAACAATCACATCCATCTGTTGTGTTGGCAGTGTGCTCAATCACAAGGTGTGCTGGATCTCTTCATTTTAGGCACCATTGCCAGAGAAATACAAAAACCTTTGAACTAAGTGCGAATGAATTCAGAAAGTACCAGTTAAAAGCTATCTGAATGGGACAACAAACTTTGGGCAGAAGATAAAGAATAGAGGAAAGAATTTAATAAATCTAACAATGGTCATATCATTGCTTGAAGAAGTGGGCAAACATTGAAAAGAGTCATTACTATCCAACAGTCATGCAAAATGATACTTCCCAAAAGACACATATTGGAAATAACAGCACTATCTTCTATTTCTTCCACAGAGCTTAAAGACCACTTCTTGACTTCTCTCTCATACATGTGCATATATAACTATACATACATATAATAGCAATACACATGCGTGTACTGAACATATACATATGTATAGCATATATAAATATTATAGACAAATATATAATAACAAGATGTGCATAAAATATATATACACAGATAATTTTTACTGACAAGCCCTCTGTGGTTCATTACAACTACAAGAAGCAAAATCTACTTGCTATAAAGTCTTCTGTTTATTCCCAGAGGGAGGGAGGTAGTCACTCAATGCTTCTGCATAGCAAAACACATTTTCCTGCACAGTTAAGAGGGAAAAAAGCACACAAAACAGAGTGGCTAATCCATTTAGAGAAGTTCTGTATGTTCTAGAAAAATTCTGCAGCTTCAAACTTTCTTCCTTTTTGAAGGAGAATTAGGAAGAGGTCTTCACTTGGGCAACAGTTTTTCCAGCCATCATTTTCATGCTAGCCACCAGTATATTGTTTCAGAAGTATTTAAGCAGAGAAATCTCACTGGAATTTCTGGTTGTTTTTTTTTTCTCTGCAACTATCAAGAGATCCTTAAATCAATTTATCAGCTATAAAATCTGGTATCAGCACGCAAAGTAACTTTCAGATGAATGCATTTCCCTTTATTCCACTACACAAATTCAGCCCTGTTACTCCTCAAGGCCTCAGTAAAACAGTCTATGACAGACAATTTTGGAAAAAAGTTTCTAAATTTTAGTTTCCTTTTTATTTCTTCCTCTGCACAGTCTGCCCAAAAAAGACTAAATTCATAGGAACAAAGCTCAGTATTTTAACATTCACTTCCAGATGCTTGGGTTTTGCTTTCTTAGAACTGTGGTGACTATGCATACCAGGAGAGCAGAGAAGCAGTTTAGAACCCCTGCATTTGCTTCAGCTGTCGCCAGGAGCTGAGCCCTGTGGGAAGAATCCTGCTCTGTCGGCAGCATTTCTCTCTCAGCTGTTTGGCCACGGGCTGCATCGAGGAGCATCCTCACTGCCAGCCAGTTACAGTCTCCAGCGAGAACTGATCTGATTTTGGCAAGAACGGGCTTTACACCTTTGCCAAATGTGATCAGAATAGATGAAGACAGTCAGGTACCTACACAGTCAATGCCTGAAGTGCCACTCAATAGTACATAACTGCAAACAGAGCAGCAATGGGATATTCAGATACAACATATAACATTAGATGTCAAAGTGACAGCAAAATGTGAGAATGCTGATCAAACAAAACAAAAAAATAAAGGTCCGCACTAGAATGGAATATTTTAGCTGAAGTCGTGAAACAGTAATAACTATTTCATTTCTAATACTATTTTTGTAGGAGTAATTCTTTGAGGTTTCAATCAATAACTGCTACTTTGTAATTTCTACTTATTTGAGGAGTGTGCCACAGAATCTTCACACAAAAAGCTCAATGTATGAAAGCCTCAGTTTATTCACCACAGAACAGCTCCATCTATAATTCTGGTGGCTTGTTGATCACCATCTTTGTGAACTTCAAATGACATGGCTCTCTTCTTAGTCTGGAGGAAGATAAAACAATTCACCTTTTGTAAACACATTCATAAATTTTGCCCACAAAAATACAAATACAGTCTGCAAGTACTTTAAGAAACAATACAGTGAATCAAAATTAAATTCAGAGCCTGACTCCATCACTTTGACTACTGAAGCAGTGTTTTCCAGCAACAAGACTGTTTCACAAATATTTTACATTAATGCCAGTATGAAATTATGTCAGTGTATGGCTGTACAGTAAGAGTCTGTAACTCAGAAAACTTAACTGTGTTGTTTTGTGGTGTGATAGGGAGCAATGAGGATTGACAGTAACTGAGTGACATCCAATTTCCTCAGATTTTAGACCTTTCACCTGTCACATGCAGGAACACCAAGTTCTTTTTGTGTTTTATTTTCTTAAAAATTGTTTTTATTCCCTTAAATATGTAAGATTAGTCTTCCACAAACATTTATATAAATTTTAATTATCAAGTTGAATTCATTTATCAGATTTTATAATAATGAAAAATGGCAAATATATATATAATATAATAATTTGTAAACTGAGATTTTTAATTTTATTTTATTTTAGCTGCTTTCACTTGTGGGAGATGAGCCTATATCTGAATCACAGATTGGCAGTTATATCCAAAGAATCTCACGTGGAAAAACTGATAAACTTGAAACTGGTTGTTGAACAGCTCTAAGGAGGATAATGCTTTTGGCTTCAGATCTTAAAACAGTCAACATTACAGTACAGGTTAAAAGTATTATAATATGCACTAGTAGATTTTCAAGGCTTTCATCACAGAAATGGGAAAGAAAGCAGTCTTGTAAGTCAGTCAGAGCATTACATCCCACAGTTAATTATTTGCCTGTGTAAAATTTTAGCCTAAATTAGCTAAACAGAACAAAATACCTTTATGACCTCTCCTGGAGTCTTCTACTGATGACACAATATCTTGTATTTTAACAGTTAGGAAGTCAGCATTTACCATACAGAATAGACTTTTAAATACGCTTACACTGAGACAAAAGATAAAATAACTTAAAGGCCTAGTTCTCTTCTGCATTATATATCTGCTTAGCTCCATTGGCAATTCATCAATTGATAGTGATTGATCAGGTTCAAGATGTTTTCAAGTGTTCAGATGGGCGGACAACACAAGAGTCAGGAGTATGACACAGTGTATATCGGACAAATAAACCTACCAAAGCTTGGCATTTTTATAAGACTCTCATGAAGACAATCATAATCAAATACATCCAGTGCTTCTGAAGGGTCCAAGTTTCTGCTAACTCCAAGCCTCTGTACTCTTTTTGTCTCAAGAATATAGATGCTGCCCACCACTCCAGCAAGCTAGTACAAGGTATGCCTAAGCAAAGGCAGGCCAGAGCAAAAATGATAACTTCTTTGTTATTACATGAACATGAGTTCACTGAGAAGTAAAAATCTCTCTTCCAGTTTTCCTTCCAATAGATCGTTCAAAAGTTACCTGTATCATTATCAAACACATGAAGTCACATTCATCTGTAGTGACACTTGTGGAGCTCCTGATACAAGTTCTGGCTCTGAGAGAATGGCATCATTTTATATCCATATAAATCAGGGAAGTACTTCTCCCAGTGCTTTTCATACCATTCCTGCTGTACCTCAGGCAAATTACATTCTTTTCAAGGGTAGCTCACAGAAAAATTTTTCCAGAAAGCAATCAATAAAATCTCCTCTCATGCCCTTCCATCTCTCTCAGCTTCCCTGAGAAATAAAGCCACCAGCTGTGCTGGCACCTTTGATAGATGACTTGAGTGAATTTTTCTGGACATACTCCCTCTCTCTTAAGCATGTAAGTTGCAAAACTGTTGTTCTGCAGACCCTACACCATTGAGGTGGGTTCAACCATTCAGTAATCCTGGAAACACACTGACTGACTTCAATCTTGCAATGAAAAGAAACCAGCCCAGCTGGAAACCTAAAAACGTATGACAAAAGTCACACTGACTGTTCAGAAAGAGCAAAAAAATTTCACCAAAGTTAAGCAGTGTTTTCCCTAAATGAATAATAAAAACTGCATTATTGCTACACAACAAATAGAGATGCAACAAAGCCTCTTCAGGCTTTAGGAGACTATATATATTTTTCTTCCTGAATTTACTAATTATATTATGTATTTTTAAAACACTCTATATTCACATCAAATTATTAACCTATCAATTATTTTAAAATAAGGTATAGATACATGTACAATAATTTCCTCAGGGGTATGTCAAATTATATAATTCACCTATTTCTAATCATAAGCAGTGATAAAGACTTGTAATGACAAGTAGTATTTTGTCATTGGTTATGGTTAACATACAATTTTGTTCTAAAGTAAGGATACATTTCATTTTTCTCCTACTCCTTAACATAAAATGGCAATGATCTTAATTTAAGCTAGAAGTAAAACAAGAGCTAATTTAGCTACAAGGAAAGCAAGTCTAGTTATGTAAGCCTTGGGATGAAACTTCACTGCAAATGAAATATTTGAAATGAAAATCAGCCTGTTACACTTGCCTTTTTACTGGGCCTAGAAGCAATACAGTTACAGCTCATCCATTCAATCACTTCTGATTTCCAGAGTTTTTTTTCCAGAGGGATGTTTAAATGAGATACCTAAATGTATTTTATGCCAAACAGTCCAAGTATTAACAGAACTGACTTTGGGTCTTATACCTAAGAATAATTACAGAAATCATTTCATCTGTCATGTGAAGAACCCAGAACAAAATAAGCTGCCACAAAGCATTGTGTCATGTCACCATACACATGCACACACACACATTTTATACATGGAATATCGCAGTTGTTCACTTTCCCTCCTACAGGGACACAGTCTAAGGTGGCAGCTTTCCTTGGGGAATATGCTATCATTAGATTTCCCATTAGGGCCTTTTCCATGGAGAAAGGTTTTTCCTGTATCACAGGTTAAATCATGCTAATTTCAAACTAGAGGCAGTCACATCAAATTGATTTTTAGAAGCTGAAGAGAGGTAAGGTGGATGGTGTGAGGGGAAGCAGCAATGTGCATTTTCAAAATTGTGCTTGCATATTCTGTGTTTCAGAAGCCCTTGAGATTTGTATTGCTCTATTTACCTCAGATCTACCAATTCCCACTCTCATACCCACTGGCAGAACATCACCAACAGCACTAGATTTCTGTGTTGTAAGCAGAGCTATGGCTCCTTTTTGAACTTATGCAGCTTAGTGTCACTGTTTCCTAGAATTAATCCAAAAGTATAAATATCAGACACCTGTTATATCTTTGTGTCTGACACACAGTAATTTCTCCAAACTGAACTGAGAAAGCATAACTAATACAAATAACAATAAGGTATCTCTGACAACAGGAAGAGTCATCCTAAGAGTCCCATTTCACCTACGGGAAAATGAAAACATTATTAGATATCAGAAGACCGTCTGAAGAAAGATTTGGGACCTTCATTCAAGAAAAAACAAAACTGGATTTAGGAAGTGTCAGATTCTGAGGTGTGAAGCAGTCAGGGATGCTGTCATTGCTGGGAAGATGCAGAGCGAGCTACTCCTGCTTGTCATGGATAGACTACTGTACCTTCCAAGGAAAGCAAGTGGTGGGGGGAAGCAAGAGAAGAAGGGTGCCCTCTGAAAGTCTGTGAAATTTTTAGAATTTGCTGTCTCAGATAGGATGGCTATACTCATACAAAGAATTGAAAAAATCAGTCTTATTAAAGTATTTCTGAAGAGTTTAAAATTACCCTCTTTTAACCTAGCTTATATAAATACATGCATCATGCATTTGTGTGTAGATATATATATCAATTATATACTGGATCTCATCTTACAGCTTGAAAAGCTACCATGTGAACCATGTTCATCACAAAACTGCAGGCTAGCTATCAGGCAACCATCTATTGCCGTTTAACTAATGAAGATTTATGCAAGCCAAAAAAGTTCAAAAAGCACCTTTGTAATTCTTCAGGAAGAAAATACGTAGCAATTTTTTTTCTTCTCGCTTTTAATAAAATTCAAAAGTTAGAAATAGGAAAAATGACAAATTAAGAAAAAAAAAAGAAGTGTAAAATTCATCTCCCCCCTACTAATGCACACAATGTACCACTTTCCACAGTATCAAAGATGGGAAAAGGTTATTCAACATATTTAATCATTAATCTCTCCCTCTACCTCTCCAAAACAATTCCCAAGCAATTTCTTTTTTTTTCCAATTTTTTGAAAAGCCATTCCTCCCTTTCCTTAGGAAAGCTGGAAAATTCATATTACCTATTACCACTAACAAGCATGCCTTGCTTTAGAGTTGGGATCATAGGTCTTCTTCTCCTGTTATCTGTTAGTTTAACAACCCTACAGCCATGAAAAGATTTCACAAACTCTACAAACTCCACTACATTACACAGAGAAGTGGAAAACCATGAGAATTACGTTGGCTGAGAGGGATAGTTATGCATTTATATTCAGGACAACATGGTCCTGTGACTACAACGGGAATACTGATTAACATGTCAGGATGTATAATTGGTCCCAATAAATGAATCCCTGAGGAATTTCTGGAATTTCCAAGTTCACCAGTAAGTATATATACATACCTGAAGTCTCTGCTTAAGTGTATTTCATACCTGAGCATCATTTTCAGCTATAAAGAGCAGTTATAGACAAGTTGACTAAAGACTTTGCTGTAACTCCACAGGTAAATGTAATGTCCTCTAACATTGGGCAGCGATCAGGCAGCTTGTCCTCCCTGGCTTGGAAGGTTCCCATTACAGCCAGTGGTGAGAACTTCCTCTGGGCAATGACACAGTCTGCTTGTGACAGGCACCTCAGACTGGTGGAGTAACACCCAAAGCAACTCAAAACCTCACAGCTTCTCCTAAGCACTTAGTTCTGACTAGATGCCCAGCTGGTAGCAAAAGGCAATTAGGTGATAAAACTCTCACTTGAAATTAATGTGAAGACCCTGGGTTAGTATACTAAAAGGAGAACTAGCAAAGCTTTTAA